TCAGATGAAGCTGATTTTATGTTAAAATGACCTGCTAAAAATTTATTTTTTCTTTACATATTTTGTATCATTCTTTGTGGGTTTTGGAAAGGGGGTCCCTGGACAGAAGCTAATGCTGTTTGCGGGGGACATGGCATGGATAATTTGGGAACCCCTGCTGTAGGCCAAATACCTAGGGTAAATAATATGTATCTAACAAAAATGTCTTCCGTCTTAAACCTCAGATAAAAAAGAAAACAAGAATAAATAACAAAAAATTGCCACAATTTAACATAATAACTGATGTAATGAAATTAAGTTTGTTTCAATTAAAACATTATAAATCAAGAACGAAAAAAACAACTGTAATTCTTAAAAAGTTCATACCTTTTCACCCCATCTTCAGTGTATTCGCTCCTGTAGAAACCTTCCAGATCATCTGACAAATCTCCAACAAACTCAGTGAGGAGCTCATACTGGCTGCCCACCTGCAGGGGSCTGTGGAGCTGGATCACCAGGTAATCGGTTGGAACCTCAAGCCAGGTGTTTTTCAGGCTGGGTGCAGGAGCTCCATTCAAACCCTTCAGTCTGGCATCAAATCCATTATGTGGGACAAACTTCAGGTTTTTGGCATGAATGAGGATGACATCTGTCTCCTTCACGCATGTGAACACCACACTGGAGTTCCCAGTGAAGACGTACTGATCATCAGAGTTGGGCTCCAGCCGGGGCCACAAGGTCAGGTTGTATAATTCAGGAGAGAGGCTGTCTGGGAGTCTGTAGTGGTGCCAGAGCTCCTTTGGCCCAGGGGGCGGGGTGGGACTGATGGTTGGACCAACTTTAACAGAAGGCAAAGCTGTCTTTGACTTCTCCTGAGCGTACAACACGGAGAGGGCGATGATCGTTGCTRCAGCCCCTAAAGCTGCAAGCACGCAGACTACAGCCACCGCTTTGCTGATGTAGAATCCTTCCCCCATGTCTTCACCACACAGGAAGACGGGAGGGTGACAGGAACTGTTTTTATGCTCCCAAGTAGAAATCCAGCCCAAACTTAATCACTGAATCTGTGGGCAGAGAAATCAGCTGAAACCTCAAAACACAGAGAAAGAAAAAGTCCCAGTGATAAAACTAAGTCCTGGCTCATTTGTGAACTTGGATGGTGGCTTTGAATAGTGATGTTTGATTTGATTTGATTTATTGATTTAACAGGAAAAGATTACTACAAATCAAGCCTGACTCAGCATAATTGCTGTGTTACAGCAGGTTCCT